AAAGTTTCGTAAGAATAGCCCTCGACAGGCAGAGAGAGGTGGCAATATGGCTATGCATGGATACTGATCGAGAATATATTATATATTATATATTTATATATATATTTATATATAAATACACCTTACTTGGTCGTAGACATATGCTTGCACCTTTCTCAATGTACAAGGGTATAAAAGTGCAAGGTCAGCTTAAAAGCAAATATTGCCACCGTGTTTCTTACTTTGTTTTCTTCTTTTTGTCGCCTGAGCACACACAACAAACGTTGACTGTGTGTGTGTGTGTGTGTGTGTGTATGCATGTGTGTGTGTGCGTCTGCGTTTGCCTTGCGGCGAGCCAAGCAACCCCTCGCAGCACAACAACAACAATGACGACGACGACGACTGCAATAAACTGAAGCGGATGAGCGACAGGTAAAAATGCTAATAGTAGATAACGGGAAAACAACAACAACAACAACAACTTTGGGCAGGTTGTCGCTGTTTGTTGTCGTTGTTTGGGTTGTTGTTGTCGTTGCTGAGAGGCAGCCCTGTTGAGTTTTCCCAGGCCAAGCGGAGCATTGCCTGCATTTGCACAGGTGCTCAAAGGTGAGAGCAGGAGAGTGCAAGACAAACAGTTCGGACAGCATCCGCAACAGCTGAGCGTTGCCAGCATGCAAAAGCAAACATAAATGCAGCGCCCGAACGGGGTTGCCAGATTTCAAAAATTGCATTTGCCAAAATTGAGTTAGGGCATAGAATGTAAAGAAATTACAAAATTAAATAAAGTACAAATATAAATGAATCGCTCTCTCTCTCTCTCTCTCTCTCTCTCTCTCTCTTGCCAACAGGGTAGCCAGAATTCAAAAATTTCATTTGCCAAAATTGATTTGGGAACAGGAATTAAGAAAATGAAATAAGATTCAAACATAAATGATTCCCTCTCGCTCTCACTCCCCCTTTCTCTTCCTCTCTCTCGCCAACAGGGTTGCCAGACTTTATATTTTGCATTTGCCAAAATTGAGTTGGGGAATAGAATGAAAACAAACTAGAAAATGAAATTGAATAAAGAATATAAAAGAGTCGCTCTTGCTCTCTCTGCCCCTCTCTCTTTTTCTATTTATCTTTAAATAGGTTTCTTGAATTTGATTCACATTTTCGTTGCCTTGTCGATCATCGAAATTGGAGCGCACATCCGCCTTCAGCTTGGTCAGCGGAGCACACGCCATTCGCAGGTGTGGAGAGCTCTTTTAGTATTGGCTGCAATTACGTGAACTTATTAACTTTCTCCCAAATCAATGGAACACAAAGGCGACAAATATATGTATATATGCATTACTATAACCAAAAAAAAACAAATAAGAGGTTCTAGTCGGGAGCTCCCGACTCGGGGATACCCTGAACCCTCTTCTTCCAACATCAAATGCGTATATATATTCTATTTTAGAAGCTATATGTCAAGTTTGGTGACTCTAGCTCTTATTATTTAAAAAAATTGCCCATCGATATCGATATCGATTTTTATCGATTGCTTCGAAACTGAGTAAGTTATCGATTATCGGAAACAAACTCGATCTGCGCGGGAACTAGGAGCATCTACATCTAAAATTTCAAGCCTCTAGCGCTTATAGGTTCTGAGATCCTTGCGTTCATACATACGGACGGACGGACGGACAGACAGACGGACATGGCTAGATCGACTCGGCTATAGATACTGATCAAGAATATATATACTTTATGGGGTTGGAGATGCTTTCTTCTGCCTGTTACATACATCGATTTTGAAAAAAATCGTGATGATTTGGAAGGTTATATCTCCGCGCGGAGTTATGTCGTTTTGGAACGTCATATCTCCACGCGGAGTTATGTCGTTTTGGAACGTCATATCTCCGCGCGGAGTTATGTCGTTTTGGAACGTCATATCTCCGCGCGGAGTTATGTCGTTTTGGAACGTCATATCTCCACGCGGAGCTATTACCCGAGATATTAAAAAAATCATCGAAAAAGTTTCGATTTTCGCACCGACCTCGATTTTGAAAAAAATCGTGATGATTTGGAAGGTCATATCTCCGCGTGGAGTTATGTCGTTTTGGAACGTCATATCTCCCCGCGGAGTTATGTCGTTTTGGAACGTCATATCTCCGCGCGGAGTTATGTCGTTTTGGAAGGTCATATCTCCGCGCGGAGTTATGTCGTTTTGGAACGTCATATCTCCGCGCGGAGCTATTATCCGAGCGGAGTTATGTCGTTTTGGAACGTCATATCTCCGCGCGGAGTTATGTCGTTTTGGAACGTCATATCTCCGCGCGGAGTTATGTCGTTTTGGAACGTCATATCTCCACGCGGAGCTAATACCCGAGATATTAAAAAAAAATCATCGAAAAAGTTTCGATTTTCGCACCGACCTCGATTTTGAAAAAAATCGTGATGATTTGGAAGGTCATATCTCCGCGTGGAGTTTGTCGTTTTGGAACGTCATATCTCCGCGCGGAGTTATGTCGTTTTGGAACGTCATATCTCCGCGCGGAGTTATGTCGTTTTGGAACGTCATATCTCCGCGCGGAGTTATGTCGTTTTGGAACGTCATATCTCCGCGCGGAGCTATTATCCGAGCGGAGTTATGTCGTTTTGGAACGTCATATCTCCACGCGGAGCTATTATCCGAGAGGAGTTATGTCGTTTTGGAACGTCATATCTCCGCGCGGAGTTATGTCGTTTTGGAACGTCATATCTCCACGCGGAGCTAATACCCGAGATATTAAAAAAAAATCATCGAAAAAGTTTCGATTTTCGCACCGACCTCGATTTTGAAAAAAATCGTGATGATTTGGAAGGTCATATCTCCGCGTGGAGTTATGTCGTTTTGGAACGTCATATCTCCCCGCGGAGTTATGTCGTTTTGGAACGTCATATCTCCGCGCGGAGTTATGTCGTTTTGGAACGTCATATCTCCGCGCGGAGCTATTATCCGAGCGGAGTTATGTCGTTTTGGAACGTCATATCTCCGCGCGGAGTTATGTCGTTTTGGAACGTCATATCTCCACGCGGAGCTAATATCGCGAGATATTAAAATAAAATCATCGAAACAGTTTCGATTTTCCCACCGACCTCGATTTTGAAAAAAATCGTGATGATTTGGAAGGTAATATCTCCGCGTGGAGTTATGTCGTTTTGGAACGTCATATCTCCCCGCGGAGTTATGTCGTTTTGGAACGTCATATCTCCGCGCGGAGCTATTTTCCGAGCGGAGTTATGTCGTTTTGGAACGTCATATCTCCGCGCGGAGTTATGTCGTTTTGGAACGTCATATCTCCCCGCGGAGTTATGTCGTTTTGGAACGTCATATCTCCCCGCGGAGTTATGTCGTTTTGGAACGTCATATCTCCGCGCGGAGTTATGTCGTTTTGGAACGTCATATCTCCGCGCGGAGCTATTATCCGAGCGGAGTTATGTCGTTTTGGAACGTCATATCTCCCCGCGGAGTTATGTCGTTTTGGAACGTCATATCTCCGCGCGGAGCTATTATCTGAGCGGAGTTATGTCGTTTTGGAACGTCATATCTCCGCGCGGAGCTATTATCCGAGCGGAGTTATGTCGTTTTGGAACGTCATATCTCCGCGCGGAGTTATGTCGTTTTGGAACGTCATATCTCCCCGCGGAGTTATGTCGCTTTGGAACGTCATATCTCCCCGCGGAGTTATGTCGTTTTGGAACGTCATATCTCCCCGCGGAGTTATGTCGTTTTGGAACGTCATATCTCCCCGCGGAGTTATGTCGTTTTGGAACGTCATATCTCCGCGCGGAGTTATGTCGTTTTGGAACGTCATATCTCCACGCGGAGCTATGTCGTTTTGGAACGTCATATCTCCACGCGGAGCTATGTCGTTTTGGAACGTCATATCTCCCCGCGGAGTTATGTCGTTTTGGAACGTCATATCTCCGCGCGGAGCTATTATCCGAGCGGAGTTATGTCGTTTTGGAACGTCATATCTCCCCGCGGAGTTATGTCGTTTTGGAACGTCATATCTCCGCGCGGAGCTATTATCCGAGCGGAGTTATGTCGTTTTGGAACGTCATATCTCCGCGCGGAGTTATGTCGTTTTGGAACGTCATATCTCCACGCGGAGCTATGTCGTTTTGGAACGTCATATCTCCGCGCGGAGTTATGTCGTTTTGGAACGTCATATCTCCACGCGGAGCTATTACATGAGATATTAAAAAAAAAATCATCGAAAAAGTTTCGATTTTCGCACCGACCTCGATTTTGAAAAAAAAAAAAACGTGAAAATGAAAATTGGGTCGGATCGAACGACTACATCATTTGAGAAAGGGTCAATTTGAATTCGAAAAGAAACAGAAAGAGAGCAACAACCGGACAACGCCGGGTTATCTGTATGCATTCATGTGTATATACATGAGTACCGTATGCAGCTGAGTGCTTCCTCTTTTTTTTCTAGCCTCAACAACTTTGTGATATCCTTAAAAATGACATTTTGCCTTTAAGCCCTTCAAGATTCTTAGGCAAAGCCCAATCGGAGCTCCATAAATAGAAATAAGTAGATGATGATTTAGGGTTGCAGCAGGAAGGGGGCAGTCGAAGGGGTAGGGTGGGGGACTTACCGCAAACATCCAGCCAGCCCTCGACGCGGCTGGGGTAGGAAATTGCATGGGCGCGATTTCGATACGTGCGACGTCCCATGTTTTCTTTCTTTCTTTTTTGGGTGGGTGGTGATTTTTTTTCTGCTTCCTCTTCCTTATGGGATGCTGCGCGCGCTCTCTCTCTCTCTCTCCCTCTCTCTCGCCGCCTGTGGCGTGCGCTCTCCTGCGGCGGCTGCTTCTCGACGCTCGTTATCTTTCGGCTTATCGACAAGTTGTCGAATAGCTGCCGCTGCTGCTGCCGCTGCTGCTGCTTGTTGTTGCTGTTCTACTCGTTGTTGTTGTTGTTGTTAGCTGCTTAATTTGAATATTGATTTTGTTGTCGCCGCTGCTTTTGTTGCTATTTATTTGCCATATATTTGATTTTATTGCACTTGTCTTCGACCAAAACGGTTTCAGCGTCGAGTTTTAGTTTCGAATTTCCACTTTTTGTTGTTGCGGCTGCAGCCTTTTTTGATTAAAAGCTCAACAAAAGCGCGTTTCAAGAGCACCGCAAGAAAACAAAAATATAAAAAAAAAATACGTATATATATATATGTATTTATATATTAATTAATCACGATTTTTGTTGTTTTTTTTATTATTTGCTTTTTGCTGGTTTTTGTTTTTCTGTTGATTTCTTTACGCACGGCTCAAGCTCAATGCGGATTCCACTCTCTCTCTCTCTCTCGCCTTTGGTGCCGCGCGCGCTTTGCTCTTTTCAGTGTGTCCGTGTGTGAGATTATTATTTGGGCTATTTTAGCCTTTTTGCCTGCAACAGCTGTGGTCCCAGGCGCTGTGAGACGCGGGAGAGAGAGAGCGGCCGATGATGAGATGCTCGAACAAATTTTCAAAAAAACGCAATTGCCGCCGCCCCCCGCGCCCTTTCCAGACACAAGACTGTTGTTGTAGTTGTTGTTGGTTTGTTGTCCAAGCATACGCATACATACACATATATTGTTAATATTGTGAGTCGAAGGCCGGTCGGCGCATATTGAAGTTTTATTTATTGTTGCTGCCGCTGTTGTTGTTGTTGTCGCGCCAACGAAACCAGAAACTTTTTTAACAGTCACAGACGCCGCTGCTCAACACACACACACACACAGACAACTATGGGTACAAGTGCGTACATATGCGCTTTTCGGTGTATTATTTTTAAAAATACTCCAGCAACAACACCAAAACAACACCCAACCAACACACACACATCCGACAAAAAAAATTAGCACACACTTTTCAGTTTGATCAAACAAAAAAAAAATGAATAAAAACGCACGAGTTTTTTTTTTAAAAAGCACGCCAACTGCGCGCGACGTCGGCAAATGCAACAACGAACATTTAAAAAAAAAAACAAGTGTAACTGTAATGCGTGCGCGTTAAAAGGCGCGACGTGCCAACCGCGCAGCAACAAACATTAACTAACTGATAAACAATGTGACCGCTATTGGCAAGCATAAAAATACGGCACAAGCAAAGAGCTAAGAAAACTACCAGACACACTTAAATACCAGCGTTATGGTATTTTATGCGCTGCTGCATTTTGGAAAGCAGCTAAAAGTATGCTATACACATATATAGAAGCCAGCAAGTAAGAGAAACTGTGCGGGCTAACTGCCTGAGCACTTATGTTTTTACCTGTGGCACCCTAAAACACCACAAATTAATTGATAAGCAACAGCAAACACTTTAAATAAACATATGTCTCTAATCTCTTTATGCGCACAATGTCAAAACTGATAAATATACGTTTTGGCCGTGCGACTTGAAGCAAGCTGCAAAGGGTAACAATATTTTTTGCCTACTTTCAGGGCGCGCGGCAAAAATACGCGCGCAATTTTCAAATTTTTAAAAACGCGTTGAAAGAGCACAAAAAATAAAAGTGATCGAGTTTTGTTTGTTAAACGGTTTACATGAGTTTTAATAGTGCACATAATTAGTATGTAGTTATTAGAAGATAATCAAATACACATAATATTAATAACATTATTTTTATAAGTAAATAGTACTTGAACTTGTTTTTGTTGTTGTTACAGTATTTGCTGCGCATTGTTTCTGTGCGAATTGCATTAATAAATTACAACTACAATAGCAACGCAGGAGCACAACGAATTTAACTATATATACATATATATAGATATATGTGTATATATATATATATATATATATAATATGTATATGTGTGTGTGTGTGTGTGTGTGTGTAGATATATATGTATATCTGTGTATAGGTATACGCATATTGTTGTTCAGTCTTTGCTTTTAATCTTAACGGGTTAAAGAGAGAGTGGGAAAAAAAACAAAAAAAAAATTGCATACATACGCAAGTAGGTATATATGCATATATATATATATATATGATTGACAACTAGACTAAGTTTGGGTAATGGTTAATTAATTGATTTTTCATATTTCATTTTGTTGCTTTTTTTTAACACATTTCTGCGGAATGTGCTAGGAAATTTCCTTGGCGGGGCGCAGCCCCATGGAACGCTTCAGTATTATCGTTAACTATATAGTTTTCTATATATCTCGATATGTATATATATGTTTATATATATATATATTTTATCGATTTTTATTTTCTTGCTCTGGCTTTCACATCTTGCCGGCCTCCTCATCCTGGCCGCTCGAGGCGGGCGCTGGTGAAACCGAACCGGAACCGGAAGCTGAACCCGAACCGGAGCCGGAACCAGTGCCGGAACCGGTGCCAGATGCTGTGCCCGTTGCGGTCTCCGTTTCGATGGCCGCCTGCAGCTCGACGAATATGTCAATGAGATTGTTGATGCCAATCAAATAGCCATCCTCATGATTGCCCACCTTCCACGCCGAATAATGATCGATATGCATCTGCGGAGGCAGTGCCACCGTCTTGGCGAAGTCAATTAGCCAAACGCTCGCGTGCGTCTGATCGTGCACAAAGAGCAGCGAGCTCCCGATCACCTCGTGCGTCTGAAAGAACTCGGATACGGCCAGGGTGGCGCGAATGGCCCGCAAGCGTTGTATATAGCGTGGCTGTAAAAGCAGCACAAACCAAAGGTCGGATTAAGCAGGCGGTAATATAACGTTATCAATATAAACGGTTAGGGGCATATAGAATAGGAGATCTATCTACTAAGCATACAAATTCTGGATCAGCAAGTATTATAAGTTTCGTACAGAAAGAAACAAAGTTCAAATAAAGTAGAAAGCAGATGAAATAACTATAACAATCAGTGTACTTATTATTTTGGCCACGAGTGTATATACAGACTGCAGCCAAAACAACGAATCTATGTAAGTTCGATGGGCATAGCTCGATGCTGAGATAATGCACATGGTTAGATAGACGCGACATGACCTTAAGGACTCGGACATGACAGATCTGGGATTACTTATGACATAATACCCACTGCCGGGGAATATAGAACAGGTTACAGGGTTTAACGCACCAGAATATGTGGATGGCCGCTGAGGAACTCGTTGAAGGCCAATTTAATTTGTTCGCGTGACTTGGTCGTTTTGAAATCTTTGGAACTGGTGCCATCGCTTTTCTTAATGCCCTGTTGAGAGAAGGAAATAAAGAGATGAGCTTAGATCAGAAGCAGACCACAATGCGAAAGCCCACCTCAATGCGAAAGCCCAGCGTTGCGGTGCTAGAGATGGTCTCGCGCCAGACCATGTATCGTGGCTTGGTAACCGCCTTGGCCGCATGCTCCTCGGCATTGGGAGCCTGTGCATCGATTTGTATCATTTTGTCGTACATGTCCTTGCGCAGCTTCGGCTTCTCCTTGGCCTTGGACAGCTCTTCCTCCAGATAGGTGCGCACACCCACTTTGCAGTCCATCACGCAGGGCTGCACATAGTCGCTAAGCAGATCCTGCAGCTGCAAATAGACTGAAAGTAACACAGAGTTGAGATTATACAGAGCTTCAGAGAATTGGTCATTCAATCAGTCAGTAAGTCAATCAATTTATCAATTAATTAATCAATCAATCACATAGTTAATCAGCCAGTCTCTCAGAAGGTTACGTTTTTGATTAGTCTGTCAATCAATCAGTCAGTTAGTGGTCAATCAAACAGCCAGTAAGTCAATCAATTTATCGTACAGTCAACCAATCAGTCTGCCAATCAATCAGTCAGTAAATCAATCAATTGCACAGTCAACCTATCAGTCTACCAATCAATCAGTCAGTAAATCAATCAATTTATCAATCAATCACATAGTCTGTCAGAAAGTTGCGTATTTGATCATGCAGTCAATCAATCAGTCATTAAGTGGTTAATCAATCAGTCAGAAATTCAATCATTCGCTCAATCAATCTAGCTAGACACTAAGTCAATTTATAAAACAATTACACATTTGATTAGTCAGTCAGTGTATGAGTCAGCCGATAAGTCAGTTATCCAATCGGTCAGCTTGTAAATCTGTCAGTCAATCAATCAACTCAGTATGAAAATTAACCTGGTAACCTAATTAGACGGTCATCAAGTCAGTTCATGAGTCAGACAGTAAGTTGGCTTTTTATTCGGGCAATCAGCACAAAAAGGCAATCAATCAAAATAATATTTAGGTCTGTTCATCAGTTTGTCAGGCATACAGTAAATCAGTCAGTCGCACAATCAATGAGTCAGCCCGTCATCAAGTTATTCAGTCAGAATATCTATTAGTCAATCAAGCAATTCAATCAATCATTCGCTCAGCGCAATCTCAATCATGTAGTCAGTCAGCACAAATACTGACGCAGCCAGACATTACATCAGCTAGTTAGTCAATCGGTCAGTCAGTCAATCATAGTTATACTGATTTATTATAGGACTTACGTTCGCCATCCTCGCTGGTCACCTGGCCCTTGTAGACGGGCACATAGGGCCGCAGCACATCCTGCATGAGCACCTGAAAGCACTCCTCCTCCTTGGGGCAGAGCTTCTTGAGGACGGTGCCCGGCTCGGGACCGGCCTTGAAGTTGCCCTGGTGACCGGCTAGCTGCACCCACGGATAGCGCTGCTTCTTGTATGTCTGAAAGAAGGGCGTCCATTGCACAATGTTTCGTATTTTGCGCCAGCCGGAGCTCTGACAAAAGATAAAAGCGAGAAAAACGTAATTAAATATGGTTTTTAATGTTTTATCAATATGTCAACTACTTGAATGACAATATTTGTTTATAGCCGTGGCGCCATCTGGCGGCTGTTGTAATTGCTCGTCAGATGGCGACACTTAAATAAAACGATTCATTGAAAACTTGGTTTGTGATATTTCCAACAGCTGCGCCCCGCGACGCCGTAATGGACGCCCGCCACCTCCCCGGTCGGTGCCCATTACGAATACAAGACGATAAAAGTTGATAGCTCGAAATGGGACGAGTTTCGGATGTACAGCCGGAGCGAATGACGTCAGTGATTGAGTAACTACTAGCTAAGCGTTGGATAAGCGGGTTGGGTAAGCCTCAGATATGGCCGGATAAGGTCGGCCAAATCTTGATTAACGCCAGATGCGCGCCACTTAGTTCTTGAGGCGCGCCTACGACGAGTCCAAATGGACGTTGTAAAGCTGCGGATAACGCCGGATAATGTCGGATAATACCGAACAGAACTGAAAGTATATCCAATGGCGTATGTGCTTAAGAAACAACTGAGTAAGCACCACATAAGCGCTGAATAGTTCAGGATAAGCAGACAGTTTAGATCTTAAAGTACAGCCAATGACGTCAATGCTTAACAACGCTTAACAGTGACGTCTAAGCATTGCACAAGTGCCGTAAAATGTCGACTAGCGCCGGATAAGCACAAGAGCGTAGCCAATATTCTTAATGTACTGGTTAAGCGCCAGATATGTTTTAACCGGTTGTAGCCAGAGAATAACACGCCAAGGGCTGAAAATGTGGGATATCGTCGGTAAAATGTAGCCGGATAACCACGGATAAACACATTGGACTTAAGGGCGGCACTATCGGTCAATTTTTTAACTTGAACAGCAGTAATTTGTATTTTGCATTATTCCGGATAATTGCGGATAACTCCGGATAAAGCCGATTAAGCTCGGATAAAGCCGAGTAAAGCCAATTGATCACCGTTCAGCAACACGTAGCAGGGCAGCCAACGTCGTCTTACCTTCTTGGTGCCGCTTGCTGCGGACGCGGCCGCAGTGCCCGAGCCCGTTCCCGCTGTGGTTGAGGCCGCCGACGTGGACACATCAGAGTCCCACTCGGAGCTCAGATCGTCGCTGCTGGCATAGCCATAATCGCGCGGCATGGGCACCTCCAGCAGCGACTTGGAGTACTGTATGTAGCCGGGACAGAGGCTCTGGCCCAGCGGTGAATGGCTGCGACGCGGCGGCGTCGACATCATCATCAGCGGCAGCGAATGCTGCTGCGATAATTTGCGTCCGGCCGACAAGCTGACATGCTCGCCCGGATTGGCCGTAATGCTAATGGTGGGCATCGATAGTTTCTTTTCGGCGCGCTGCTTGATGCCGTGCGCCTGGGCAAAGGCCAGGCTGCATTTGCGTGCCTGCATATTGTTGCCGGATAGCTTGCGTCGAAAGATTTTCTTTGTGGCGCCGCCGCCGCCGCCGCTGCTGTTGCCACCGCTTGTGCCGGCAGCTGCTGTGGCATTGCAATTGGCATCCTGAGCGGGCGCTTCGGCCTCGCTGCCGCCATCCTCGCTGTCGGCGCTGGTCTTAGCGGGCGACTTGCTGCCGGCAGCGCGACCCGCATCGCTATCGACACCATCGTCGTCATCGACATCGGCATCGGCATTGGGATCGTCCTCGTCATCGAAGCGCAGCTTGGCAATGTCCTCGGGCAGAACGTCGGGAAAGTGCAGCAGCTTGACGGTAACCTTCTTGCCCGCCTCATTGTAATAGACCTCCTTGGCGCTCATTCTGTCAAAGTCCTCGTAGATGCGCACCTGCGGCGATGGCGGCGGCGTTGGCGGCGTCGATGTTGGCGGCGTTGTTTTTGTCGTTCCTACTTGTCCGTTAACGGTACTTGCTACGGCAGCTGTTGCGGGCGGTCGTGCGAGTGCGAGTGCGCACACAGACATTTTACAGGACATGCGACTTGCACTTGCGCATTAGACGCACTGCATCCACCGGGCACAATGAGCTGCACAGCGAGAACCGAAAATCGAGAACCATCAATTTCTGTGGCACCTGTCACCTGTTGCTGCTGCTGCTGTTGTTGTTGTTGCTGCTGCTGCTGCTGCCTTTGACTGTGATTGATTTCTGCGCATTTGCGAACCTGTTCGCGCCTTAGCCAACCACCATTGACCCACCGAGCGACCCGCCGACGAATGCAGCTCACGTCACAAAAACCAAATGTATATGCAGCTCTAAGAGCACGCTGACTATGCGTATACCCTACAATGAACAGTGTTGGCAAATTGTTAGAAACCAGAAACCATGCAATGCGAACCCAAGCCAAAAAGAAGAACAGATATATACAAATATATGCATGCATACGTCTATTCTTCATTAAGATCGGACAATATGCACCGAAGGTCTTCAAGAAAGGATTTCTGGGGTTAGGAGAAGAATAATTTTGAGGGTCGAGCAGGTCGCAAGTCGAGCAGCCAGCCATGGAAAATCTCTTTATCTTTATGGTTTCTAAATCTGTGTAGATTGGACTTGAGCAGCCCGAATGCGTCTCCTTTTCAGATGCCTAAGAGCTACAGAACTGAGAGCTATTTAGTGTTAAGGTTTTACCCTGAGGTGAAGATGAAGTTGAAGACGAAGCAGGCAGCGAATTGGGGCATGAGACGAAGTAGCTTGCGATTAAGAAATTAGGCAATTAATTTCCACAAAAAATCAAGATTAAAGTCTAAACAACTCTTGAACCCTATAATAGATGCAGCTGAATAAGTGCAGTAAGCGCATCGGGAATTCGTTGTGGCTCAACTCAAATTGAAGCTGCGACAAACTTGTGCTTGTTTTGGGTTGTTGTCGGCGTGTCGCAGTCGCTGTTGCTGTTGCATTGGCGCACACATCAATCAAAATTGATTAAATTTAATACAGATATATGCGAGAGTAGCAACAACAGCAAGAACAGCATCTAAGTAGGCATTGCAGGAGCGTGCTGGCATCTCGGCCGCTTCGCACAACCATCTGCGGTTCGGTTTGCAAAACCGCCAAAACCGCCTTAGGTAATTGCGTGTGTGTGTGTGTGTGTGTGTGTGTGCGTGTGTGGACTCTTTAACCACAAGCACAACGAAATTGGAATACGTAACATCAACCAAAATCGGAACTAAACGGCCCAAGCAGAGTCGGGGACAAGGCAAACCCGAACAACAATCGCATTATGATAATAATGGAAATGTTAATGCCAACAACAACAACAACAACAACAACAACAATGGTAACAATAGAGTATCAGGAATGGAAACCTAGCTATCCAGTTACACACACACTCACACACTCGACTCTGAATGCCAACTACAGTGTTCCACAAATAAATCAGACTTTTGCATAAAAAAAATACGACGTTCTGGAAGTACACTCAAAAAAAGTAATGTGCTCTTTAACTTTAACTTAAGACTTAACTTTAACAATAAGATGAAAATATTTCTTAATTTAAGCACAAGAAATTTTCTAAGATTTTTGTATTTTTATAGCAAAGATATAAGATTATTTTTCTTAACTTCAGGAAAATATGCTTCAAAGAACTAAACAAAAATGTTTTCTAAATTAAAGAAAATCCTCCAAAAAGAAGAATGTTTTGCTTTACTTGCGGGAAATTACTCCTAGAAGAAAATTATCCCAAATAAACAATTTACTCCCATATCCTTTATCCTATATATGTATATATATAATCTTAGCATAACCATATCCTTTATACATATAATCCTAGCAGGATATTGACCTACAAAAATATATTAGCCTAGAAGAAGAAACAAAAAAACATTTCTTAATTTCAAAAATTGTACTCCTTTAAGAAAATACTAAAAAAGTATATTTTGCTTGACTTCAAAAGTTTGCTCCCATATTATATCGTATTTTATCATAAAATAATATTATCGAAGAAGAATATTATCCTGGGTGGATAAAAACACAGAATATTTTTCTTGATTTAAAAAAAAAATGACTCCTACTAAAATATTATCGTAAATGCTTTTTAGAAATCAAGAAAAAAATCTCAAAACATTTTTGTATTCTTCTAGAATAATATACTCTCTAAAATCATGAAAAAAAACGGAAAATAATCAGAAATTACTTTCCTTACTTTTATTTCGACAATTATCTTGAATTTAAGACCAATTTTTTTTAGTGTACTTTCAGTGTGCATATTTTTTTTCGCGCAAACAAACTAAACCAACTTTTTTCCGTGTATTTTTTTTAGACACGAATCAAATTCATGTATTTAGTTTTCAGAGAATCTAGTTGAAGTTCGCTTAGACTCTTCTGGCCGATCTTTACTTATGACAACTATCAGATATAGTCTGCCGTTCAGCCTGATCTTGATATATGTGCTGGCTGCAGCAAAAATACATATCTGTTTCAAATTTCAAGAAGATAGCTTTCACACGAAGTGAGTTCGCATAGTTGGCTAAACGGTTGGATAGTTAGGATCTGTTCACAAAGAATTGAATTTTGATACTGATCAATTGTGTACTTAATAGTTTCACAATATATCTTGTGCACATTTCTACACGTTATTTTTTTTTTTTTTTTCGAAAAATAAGAAATTACGTTTCCAGAAAATTTCCGTTTCTATTATTGGAACAATTGTATTCAGTGTAAGTTTTAATTGCCGAGCGATCACTGTACGCTCTCTCGCTCCCTCTCTCTCCCTCTCTCTCCCTCTCTCTCTCTGTGTGTAATTTTCTGTCTCTTTCTGACTGCTGTGCTCTTCGCTCTGAAACATTTGACGTCATTTGCAAAAGTTGTACGCTGCGATAACGAACCACAACAACAATAATTCGAAACCTTGGAACGTCGCCGTTGTATGAGGCACCTTTTGTGTGTGCGATGTGTGTGTGCGGTGTGTGTGTGTGTGTGTGTGTGTGTGCCCGCATTATAGGCCACAATATGGCGACTATAAGTAGGCCGATCGATATGGAAGCGGCGAGATATGCCGGAACAAATGAAACTGCAGCTGCAGTCCACAAGAAGAGGGCACCGAGTAAGGGGGAGGGGCTGACAGGGCGCAGCTGGACATGTGCATAAACATCCGTCTAAACATGCACCTCGTATACACACACACACACACACACATATATATACATATACATGTATATGTACATATAGTAAATGTATACTAGAAATATCGCGGTCAATCGGAACTGAACCGTGTGCAAAGCGCACTGATAAAGGGACCCAAGCTAAACTCTCATATTTAGAGAGTATCTCAATTAATGCTAGATTTTTACTCAATGTACCGCCAGATAATCTGAAATGCATCATCTAGACTTTAGCCTGTTGACTCTAGGGTATATCAAATGCGTTATTTACTAATGTTGAATCTAATATAAACACATCTAGAATATCCCAAAAATAGCGATTATTTTGTCTGCGTTTTACTTTTGCGTATGCTCTATATATATATGTATATATGTACCTCCTTAGTTCCCTTCAGACATTCTAGATCTTTTGTATACTTTCAATTCCCGAAGATTTTCCCAATTTCCTTTTCATTTTCTTGAACTTTCTCAACTAAAGTTTTGATATTTATATTATATATATATGTATTTTCCTTTTTTGATCAGCTTTTATGGTCGAATCTCTAAGGCCATATACTTACTATCCAGCTGACTGTGCGAACTAGCTCAGTTCTGAAGCTATCCTGATGAAACTAGGGATGAGATTATTTTTGGTTTTATATTCTTCCACACAGTTAACATTTCCATGTCGACGAGAATCGGTAGACTATATCATATAGCTGACATAGACACAATAGAAACTTCTCTAGAAAAACTCTTTGTTTTTTTTTTCAGATAATAAAAGTTCTCTAAACGCAACAGCTTCATTTCTTTGTTTTCTGTGACTATCCCTGAAGTTCGAGAATCGAGTAAGTAGAACCCATTAAGTGGTTCTCTCTCTTTTTCTCCTTCTCTCTCTCTCTCTCTTTTTGTGTTTTCTCTTCCTATTTTTCCCTCTCTTTCACTCTCTTTATCAGTTCCTCTCTGGCTTTCCCTCTTTCAGTCTGTCTCCCTTCTCTCTCTCCCTCTCTCTCTCTCTCTCTCTCTCTCTTTTACCTCTTGTCTTTCAGTTTATTTACTTTGCAAAGTAATCCATTGCTTGTTATTTCAGATACTTTCTTTCATGCCACTTTCACTTGTATCTTTATTTAACTGTTTATTCTAGACATTGTTGTGGATTTCATGTCTGTTTCATCTGTTTGTAAGCCCCATTGTATAGCTCTGTATTTTATGTATTCACAAAATCGTGACCGATCTTTTAATCCCCTTTGTCAACTCGCTGTCTTTATACTCTATCTCTCTCCTTTCTCAACGTGTCCTTAACTTTTTCAGCAATTTTCGCTATGTTCGTCTGTTCATATCTCTCTTTCTATATCTGATCGCAATATCTTTTCCACTCTCTCCAGCTCACTTTCGCCATTCTCTACTCATCTCTCTCTCTCTCTGTCAAACTCGTTTTTGTATACTTTCCTTTTTCTCTTTCTTCGTCTCTTTCGCCCTCCGCTTTCTTTCTGCCTCTTCCTAATTTTGCCTTTGTTTCTCCCCCACTCGATCCTTAGATTGTCCCGATCTTTTGTCATTTTATCCTGTTGCTTCTCTCTATAATCCTTCACGCTCTCTTATTCCCGCTCCCATTCACTTTCCCTCTCGCCTTGCCTATCGTGCCGTCTGTTTTGACTGCGCTTCAAATAGGTAATTTGCTATTCGTTATCTAATAAACACCGTTTCGCACATGCCGTCGTCGAAGGCCCGATCTACGCCTAGATAATAGATATACATATATGTACATACATGTGTAGATATCTATAGATATTATTGTTGGGGCAATAGATACAAATGTATCTAAAGATACAAAACCCTGTATAGCTGGGTGTGGGGATACGTAACGCCAGCTCTTACCCGGACACCTATGCCCCCCTACCCCGTCAATTCTCCTCTAATGCTCCGCCGGACTGCGCTTAATGTGCGGCATTCACCCCGCATAACAATGAAAAAAGCAACGTTTTTTTTTTTTTGCTGCATGTAGATGTGTTTGTGTCTGTGTTGTTTTTTTTTTTGTTTCTTAACTGCCGAAAGCTTAAAATTAATAAAGTAAACACTTTTTTCTATTTCAGTTGCGTCGGGCGGTCGCCATTGACGCACAAAATGCGATAGAATTAGGCGCTTGGGGGGTGTGTGTGTGTGTGTGTGTATATGTGGGAGGGGGGGGGGGGGGGGTACATTGATCGTCATTGAGGGCGTTTAAGGCTGGGTGGCTGAGCGTGTGGGTGGGTGGGTGGGTATGGGCGCTGCTGGAGAGGCACCAGCGGATGTATATTGAACGATTGATGCCAATTATGGTGGAGGCGGCATGATGGTGGCAAGGGAGGGCGGGGGGGGTGGTTTGTGAATGTGTGTGTGCATGGTAAAATGGACTTGGACTGCCATTTGTGGGATTCGGGCGATAAATGAGCTTCAATTGCCAAAATTGCTGGCAAACCAAAATTGTTTAATAAAACATGCGACGCGTCTTTTATTATTATATAATTCCCAATTGGTGCGCGCGCGCGTTGCCGAGTCAAGCAACTCAGCTGCACCCCCCCCTACCAACCGTCCCTCCCTCCATCACACTCTCTCTTACGCGCTGGCAAAGTGCGTAGCATTCTCCATTGACGTCGGCGTTGAAATGTTTACATAAACTTGAATTAATTTCATTGCAGAGCAGATCAATACCGCCCCCCCCTCCCCCTCCCCCCTACATGTCCACTCTTCATCGAACACTTCATCAGACGCGCAGCAGCCAAACGTAACGCGCGCCCACTCTGTGACGCGTCGGCGTGCGACGCGTCAGCGCGTGCTTCAATTAACACTTTTTACAGCAAACCAGAAGTAGAAGAAGAGGAAGAAGCAGCAGCAGCGGCAGCGGCAGCAGCAACAACAACTGCGCAGCTTGCAACGTTGGGCATTTCCAGCGCTTCCAGCAGAAAAATTGTCAACGTGAGAGCTTTCATGTTAAACAAGCAGCAACAAGAAATATACATGTATTTATACACATACATATATATGTATATGTATATGTAAATGTATATATATGTATATATATATGAAACAACAGCACTTAACATACACAAGTGCATAAATACACGCACACACACACACACACACAGCAAAAAACAACAATAAAATAAGAAGACAAAATGAAAACACACAAAATCGCGAACCGAGGCGAAATTTAATTAAATTTTTTTTCAGTTGGAATTTTTGTCCGTTTTTTTTTCTGTTTTTTTTTTTTTTTTTTGTTTTTGTTTTTGAAACAACAGACAAGCAGTCAAAACAGCTCTGCTTAATGTTATTGTTGTTAAAGTTGTTCTTGTTTCGTTTGCTTGGCTTAAATTTTGTTTCGTTTGTTTGTTTGGTTTGCGGTTGTTTTTGTTGTTGTATTGTTACTGTTTCTGTTTGCGTTGCTGCAGCTGCTGGCGCTCGACGCGACGCGTGCCAGACATTGGCTTGAAAAACGCAAACGCAAACGCGCAACGGCAACGGCAACGGCAACGGCGACGGGAAAATTCGTTTGACAGCGACAGCAGCAGAGCACAAGCAATAGCGTATAGCAGTCGCAGTCGCAGTTGCCGTAACAGTGACAATAACAGTAGCCGTTTGCTGGTAACAGATGCAGAGACAGAGCCCAGCCGCACGCGATCGCTGCAAAAGCTCAACTGGTCGGGGGACACAGGCAGGCATACACAGTCAGAGCTGCTGCCGCTGCCGCTGCCGCTGCCGCGATGAGCAGCAGACAGCTAGCGGCAGTGAGCAGTGAGCGGCAGCGACGTTGCGTCGCAGTCGCAGCATTGAAGTCCTAACCCCAATGGGCGCGCGACTGATAACAGTAAATGCCAAAGCAAAGAGAGAGCGCATGTAACAGAGAGAGAGAGAAAGATGGAGCTGAGAGAGGGCAGTGGGAGTGGGAGTGGGCATGACGTTCAATGTTGGAAGGCCAAGCGCCCAGACACAAACAATGGAAATTGATAGTGGAAATGGCAAATTGTGTAGCTTTCATTAGGCTGTGCGCCGGGCAAAGCTCATTATTAGCTGCTCAGCGCGCTCTGCGTCTGTCCGCGTGTCTTCTTTGCGTTGTTTACTGAGAGCGCCACAGTGTAAACAGCTAAGCGCACGCGTGTGCGCGCGCGTGTGTATGTGTGTGCATGTGTGAGTGTGTGTGTGTGTGTACGTCGCAGCACACAAAAGGATAAGAGCTTAATTTGAGCGAAAAGATGAGGCCAAAGCGGCCTTTTGAAGCGCAGCTTCGAGCGTGAGTCGCTTGTTACCAGCTTCTTGTGGAATAATACGGTTTCGAATTCGATTTCGATTCTCGAATTTAAGCCAATTTCCTTTTCAAGCAGCAAATTAATCAAATTATAAAATGTGCTAAATTATGTTTTAAATTGAAGAATTTCTGCAAGAAAATGTGCTAATTTGTTTGGGGGCCAATTTAAATAAAAAAAAAAAAAAAGCCCAAGAGATGTATTTGACAATGTAAAAATAATAATAAATATTTGGATAATTCGTATTTGTGAAAAGCGTAATTTCGAAATGTGCAGTTTATTAATCTGTCGCTTTCTCCATTCATTAAATTCGAAACTTGTGCATCGCTCTCTCCTCTCATCTCTCTCGCTCACTCACTCTCTCTCTCTCGCTCACACACACTTTTTCTTGAGCCGCAAACTTCTAGATCTTGTTGCTCTCTTTGCTGCTCCTTGTGCAGCTTTCCAGATTTTAATATTTTTCTCAATGAACTTTCCCCTGCGCCCCGTCGCTGAGTCTTCAACGCTTGAGCTGCTGCTGCGGCTGCACTCCGTGCGCTCTCACACACACACTCTCTCTCTCTCTCTCTGTGTGTCTCTCTCGGGCGCGCGCGCAGGTAAGTTAAGGCCAAGCGCGTCAGCGTCGGGGCGTACGTCGCATCATAAAGCCTGTGACGTCAATGGCAACGACTACGCTGGCAGCGCGAACAGCAGCTTTCGGACCGGTCCAACAGTCCAATAATTCAATGCGACAACGGCCACAACGGCCGCAACGTAGACGGCGTCGGCTGAAGCTGAGTCCAAAGCCGACTTGGCCAAAGCTGCGTTGACTGTCTCTGCTGGCGCTGCTGTCGCTAGCTAGCGCAAGCAGCGCGAAGCTTTCGAATTGATCAATTTAGCCGAGTTGCAAACCAGTTGCGAGCTTTTGCTCGCTCCGACTAAACTAATTAACGCCACACGCCAGCCAAAGCGAGCGCAAAAGCTTTTGCCCCTCCCCCTTCCAAACACTCCGCGACCCACCTACCTTCTTCTTGGCCGCCTCAGCCGCGCTGATCACGTACAGATCAACAATGCCCAGCAGACAGTCGTCGCAGCGGCACACATCCTCGCCAAATGCCAGGGAGCCCAGGCTGCTCGTCGAGTCCAGCGAATCGGTGCGACGCAGGCGGCTCACAATGGAGGCAGCGCCGCTGCCAGCAGCGGCAGCGGCTGCGCCAGGCACAGTGACGCCGGCACCGGCGCCGCCAGCCGAACCGGAGCCTGAACCGGAACCGGAACCAGCGCCACCGGCTGCCGCGGCTGCTTCGATTTTGCGCGCCAACAGCTGCTCCATCAGCGTGCGCGGACGCGAGGAGGATGGAAACAGGGCCATGTTTCTGGCCGTGCTCTCACACGAATGCGTTATACGATTATCTGGCCACACTGCGCCTGGGCCGCTGCGGCAAGTTCTTTGCTTAAGTCTTTTGTTTTGCTCAGTGTTAACTTTCGAACGGAATTCGCTTTAACTACGACCAAAGTGCAACATACCTGTAACGAGAGCGAGAGTAACAAAGAGAGAGAGAGAGAGAATTAGAATAAGAGCATGTCAATTTAATTAAACTTTATTTTAATACTCTATTCACAATGTGAAGACGGGTATATGAGTAAGTCTAATGTCATTTTAGCTGCCCCTCCGTCCGTCCTGTCCGCGTGAATGCGAAAATACTAAAGAAAATATGCGACTTGAAACTGAGTACAGTACGCCCTCGCTCAACGATCTAATTTGTCAAATAAGTTTTGCTTTAGACAAAATCTCTGACAAACCAATTTTGACAAATATTGACCAAGTGCCGCCCATACAAATCCCAAAAACCGATATTTTCTTATATGAAACAGGCAGAAGAAGACGTATCCGACTCCATCTACTCTATATATAAAACTGGCTATCCAGACTGACTGACAAACTGATAACCGACGCATAGCTTAGATTGTAAGAGGTAATTCTTTGTATAGCTACTACCTCTTGTTAACACTAAAGCGCGACTTTGGGAAATTCCACTCACAAGTGTGGAAAGTTTTATGTTTATTATTGTTTTCTGTCCTCTTCATTTTCCTTTCCGATCCGCTTCAAGCACATTTTCTTTTACACGAAATGTATTTGCGATATGTTTCACACATTCTGTGGAAATGTGAAATTAAGACAATTTCTACACTTTTCACAAAATAAACGTGCCAGTCAAATTTTATAAGAACTTATTAAGGACATGTTTCACACTTTTCGCAAAATCCACACTTATCCAAATTGTCGGAAATTGGTCGTATTATTTGCACACTTTTCGCAAAATCCACCGCTCTTGGCGGAAACATTCCACTCAAACGTTGCATGAACGTTGAACGTTGCATGGCTGCAAGCTTCTCACCATGCGTAAAATTTTCCACCGTCGTGAAATGGATGGAAACTTGATAAATTTTATAAAAAGATCGGTCAAGGCCTTCGAATACCAGTTTGTATATCTTCTGTCTTGCCGAATCGAAGCTCTTGCATAAAAGCACTTCTTAGCCAGATGTCTGCAAGGGTATTGCAAGTTCGGTGCGACTTTCTTGCCTGTAATCTAAGTGAAGTTCGTGTAGCGTCTCTTTCTGATCTTTGGCTATTTAGCCAATCTGATTATTTTCATTTTGGATGCCTTCCACATTTGGCTTCTCCAGCTGGTGCTGGCTTTTATCGCAGCCTGTTGCTGCTGCCGCTAACTGATGTGCCACAATTTGTTGTCTGTCGCTGCTTATCGCCAATATGGATGGGGCGCTGTGGCGCGCTGGGCGTGGCGTGTTAATCTAGCTCAGGTGCATATATGGCTAGATTGGATGTGTGGCATTCGCATAATCGCAGCTGATAAAAATTTCTTGTTAATTAACATGAAAGTGCAATGCGAAGTCTGGAGTCCGGAGTCCGGAGTCCGCTGACCGACTGTGGCAAGTTGGCTAGCTGTGGCATGTATCCAGTTGCAAGTTTGCCGTTGGCACGGCCAAAAACTCGTCCACAGCCAAACCGAAACTGGCCCCCACTCCCCCTTCCGCCCGGCCGCATTCAGCTTTGCTGGCAGTTGGCATCGTTTGCAGTCGTCGTCATATTGCCGCATTTATGCGCACATAAAAGTCAAATAATAGATCCAATAGATACTTTGCCACAACTCGTTGCAAGGCAGTTGTTGCTGTAGCTGTTGCTGCTGTTGTTGTTGCTGCTGCTGCTGTTGTTGTTGTTGTTGTTGTTGCTGCTGTTGCTGTTAGTCGAATGATTTATAAGCAGTTGCTGCTATACCCTGACTACAGCCACAAGATGAGCCACACAAATTCAACGTGACAAAAGGCATAACATACACATAAATATACACATATATCTATGTATATAGATACACCTCTAAGTATTACCTCGTCCTGCTCGGGCTAAGGTTTTTTTGCGTATCAAATGAGTTTTCATAGGGCTCTTGGAAATAAGTTTTTATCCGAAACTTCTCACACCCCCATTTCCAACAAGTTGCCGTGAATTTATCGAAAAGCGTCAAACATGTCTCTAAATCATTTTCACAAACGATTTTCCACACTTGCGAGTGGAAAATACATAAGCGCTGAAACACGCGATCATTAAGTTTTTACTTTAAAACCGAACGACGAAACTTTAAATAAAGCCAGGAATTCCCTATTATTTTACTTTAGAATCGTGGATTGTACGAAAACTGTAAAAAATGTATCAAGTTAATTTTCTTAATTATAAGCTTTAGCCACCAAATATGAACCCCAATTCCACCAAACCGTCGTGAATCTCTTGTAAAGTGTGAAAACCCAAAGTAATTTGCACAAAGCACTTTAAATATTAGCTTAAGACCAATTGATTGACAGACAATAAAGTTACCCAATAATAATAAAAATAATAATAATAATAATAATAATAATAATAATAATAATAATAATAATAATAATAATAATAATAATAATAATAATAATAATAATAATAACAATTAACTTTTAATATTGGATCGTATCTTTAATTATCCTCTTAATTTCTGAACTTAATTTTCTTAGCTTTATATGAACTATTAACTGGACCAGAGATTACTTTTACTGGGAAGCCAGATATTGTTGATTCACAGCACGATCTTCGATTTATGATCGTGTTTTGATTAAATTTCTAGTTGCAGTCGAAAGTTGTAAAAGTCGATTGCACAGAAAATGGTTTTATGGAAAGCAATTAGGCTACTTAAGCTGTAGATTTTTTATCCGCGCCAAGATCAATTTTGAGCTCCAAGAGAATTATATAGATTGTTTTCTACAGCAAACAGCCGTGATTTAATAGCCATGCTAAGACTGTAATTAATCTATTTAACTAAACTGAAGATCAAGATAATCGGTTGTAAATCAATGAATAATCGTTGCGAGATTAAAATATGGTATAAGTATAATCGATTGCACATCCTGCTTTCAATGCGCAAATAAATTGTAAGTGATCTAGTAAAGTGTTAGGATTATAAATCATGGCGGTCTGATCGCATCTTGCAGATCGCATCTTGCTGATCGTGTTCAAATTTATAATTCCCGGAATTTGTCGCAGATTCGATGATCTGTTAATATGATTTAAGCAAAGCATTTAAATTGTAGATCGCAACAGCATTGATCTGCAACTGATCAAGCTGACAATTCATTCTTCTTTTATTTAGCACATCGATCACTTTATTTTGTACATTAAATTGTTCAAAATTTGTGAGGATCGTGTGCAACGCTGCAATTGTTCAGCTAAATAAGAATATAAACTGATTATCAAATTGATATCGGAGATCGGCCCATGATCGCAGATAACTACAATTGATCTAGTAAACATAAATTATTTGTAGAGCATGGAAATCATTTCGTGATGCTGTTCACTTGCCTATTAAATGCTCTCCGTTTGATTATTAAGTAGCTATTATTTTCTATACAGATGACTTTTTTTGATTTTCAAGATCAGTTGCAGTATGTTGAAGCCAAATGACGATCAGCTGATCGTGTAGATAAGCTCTTAATCTCGTTAATTAGTTGGTCAATTTTGCTAATTAGTGTCATTCTGAATACTTTGATCAGATGAAGATCAGTAGAACAAGTCAACAGCTAAAGATCAGTCGATCTCGTTTCGTATATTCAATTGTTTCGACTGTTGGCTTCTGTTAAAAGAAGAGCTGTGGCTCGCTTGAGCATATGAATTATATTTGTAAACGATCGTGATTTATAGTATATTTATTATCTATATAGACTTTTGTGAGCGATTCGTGGAGGGTTTCAGCAGGGTTTTAGCAATATGCCATGTTGAGGGTAACTAAACGTCGACGTTGGACATAAATTGTCTGTGGTCGATCATGGCTGTTGTTGTTGTTGTTGTTGTTGCTTTAGGCAACTGTCTTGTACTTTTATGGTCGCTCGTCTTATCAATAATTTATGTCAGATTATACCGTTATGTCACAATAAATTAAAGTTGGCAACTTATTTTCCCGGCTCTGGTGATTTTTCGTTTTATTTTATTTTATTTATTACTATTTTTTTTTGTTTCTGTTTATTATTTTTGTTATTTTTTATTATGGCCAAATCTGTCAGTTTAGTGGCGCATTTGGAAAATGGGGAAAATTGAACGGCTTAACCAGTAAAGTGGCGTCGCCGCGGCCCAACCTTGTTCCCGGCCCCACAACTTGGCCAGATCTGGGGACTGGGGACTGGGGCCTGGCGGCCGAGTCGGGCGCATGGCGTGCGGCGGCAAATTTCACTGTCACGCCTCGTTTTCAATTAACTTGTTGGCGGCCGCTGGCCGAGGCCGATAAATCAAATGTGCCGCCGCCAGAGGCAGCAAATGCCGCTGCAACTCGGCTGCAGGCTCTTGACCAGTGGCCAATGCAGTTTTTGATTTATGAAGATCGCTTCATTTGGCGTCGGCTGTTGCTGCTGTATATGCTGCTGGAGATGCTGCTGCTGCACGCAGCCATGTCAAAGTTTATCGCCGTCCTGTGATGATTCATGTGGCAGGCACTGGCTGGCAGTGGCCATGTGGCAAGAGTCGGCTAAGCATCTCAACCTGCAACTGCAACTGCAGCTGCAGCTGCCTGTTGCCGTTGCCTGTTCGCCATAAATGCGCAACTGCAACTGCGAGTGCCTGGCTGCTGTTTATGGTAGTTGCCAGTTGCCAGTTCGCAAGGGTCAATCCGTTTGCGTGGCGCAGATACAAAAGTATCTTTTTAGCCGCACCGACTGCTGTCTGCTGCCTGCTGCCTGCTGCCGGCTGCAGCAAACCTGTATCTATCACGTAGAAATGTATCTCTCCTTTTTTTTTTTCCTCGTACATCGGCTACGCAACGGCTGCAAGCCACGAATGCACACTCTTTCCAAGTATCTTTAGCTAATGCGCGTTCTTGCTGCAATTTTGAAAATTAATCTCAATTTATTCTGGCAGCACGCATCTTATTTCTAAGATTTTCTTTAAGTATTGCTCAACTCGTGAAAAGTAGCTTTCGATTAAATATAATCAATAGCAA